CGATGCTATCATGCGAGATACCCGTCACTTCCAGGATTGGTTACAAATCAAGAATCCTCTACACAAGAATAACGCTCCGTTCACCCCAGCAATGCAGGATGAAATGGAAGAGTTCTACATGAATAGGTATATGATGTGGTTCTCGCAAGGACTATTCGGTCTAGCGAATAGCCAAATCCCAATGGTCAACATGTATGACGATCACGACATCATCGATGGCTACGGCTCTTACCCCCATCATTTTATGAAATCCCCGGTGTTCACGGGCTTGGGCAACGTCGCATTCAAGTATTACATGCTCTTCCAGCACCAGAGCTTGCCGGAGGAGACTGAACAGTCAGAACCGAGCTGGATCACGGGTCTCAAGCCAGGTCCTTATATCCACGAGCTAAGCCGCAGCACGTTCATGTTTCTAGGTAGTAAGGTCGCGCTTCTAGCTGTTGATTGCCGAACTGAGCGAACGAGAGATGAAGTCGTGCGCGAGAATACGTGGAAGAAGCTCATGGACCGCTGCTACGATGAGATTGTGAAGGGCGAGACACAACATCTGCTCGTTCTACTAGGGGTTCCCATTGCTTATCCCCGCCTTGTGTGGTTAGAGAACATGTGAGTATCCTTCATAGTGAGAATCCGATGCAGCACATACTGACTTTTCTAGCTTGACTTCACGATTAATGGATCCCATCAAGGCCCTCGGAAAGGCAGGTATGCTGGGTAGCTTCCTCAACCGCTTCGACGGGGGTGTCGAAGTCCTAGATGACCTCGACGACCACTGGACAGCAAAGAATCACAAGGACGAGCGGAGGTGGGTCATCGAAGATCTCCAGGATCTTGCCGCGGACAAATCCGTCCGTATAACGATCCTGAGCGGCGACGTGCATCTAGCCGCAGTCGGCCAGTTCTACTCGAACCCTAAGCAGAAGCTGGCTAAGCACCAGGACTTCCGCTACATGCCTAACATCATCTCGTCAGCCATCGCCAACACGCCACCCCCTGACCTCATGGCGGATATATTGAATAAGCGTAACAAGGTTCACCATTTCGACAAGGAGACGGACGAGGATATGATCCCGATCTTTACTAATGACGTCGACGGCAAGCCGCGTAATAATAAGCGTCTTCTGCCCCATCGCAACTGGTGCTCCATCCGCGAGTATGTGCCTGGGCAAACACCTCCGCCCACACCGCCGCCGGAGGAGTACGACCTGACCCCTGAAGGCACCCCGCCGGGCAGCAGCCGGGGCGGGTTTTTCCGCCGGCTCTCGCTGTCTAAGAACCGCGGCCCCACCATCCGCCCCGACGCGTCGCGCGACACAGTCGACCGGTCGCGCCCGCCCGTCACCAGCAGAGGCTTCCTCAGCTCCTTCTCGCGGCGCCCGTCCTCCGACGGCGGCAGCTCGCGGCCGAACAAGCTCCTGCGCACGCTCTCGCTCGGCCGCGGCGACTCGTCCCGCCCGCGCGGCAGCTTCTTCGGCCGCCGCAGCAGCAACGACGGCGGCATCAACGGCGACTGGGGCGAAAGCGACGAGGAAGAATACGAGTACGAGAACGACAACGAGAACGACCCCTACTACCACCCGCCCCCGCCCCCGCCGCAGCGCGCACCACCGGCAGCCCAACGGCCTACGGTCTTCGCCCCCGCGCCGCCGGACTACGGCGGCAGTAGCGGCAGCGGGCACCTGCGCGGCGGCGGAGGCAACGACGAGTACGAAGTCGGCGACGAGGCGTTCTTCACGGCGCGCGCGCCGCGCCGCGCGTTCACGCAGCCCGCGTCCAGCGGTGGCCAGGGCAGCGCGTACGGCGAGGCCTACCACACGGGGTCCGAGGAGGACCCGGGGCCGCGGCGGCCGTTCCACCGCACGCCCACGGGGCTGACGGCCAAGCAGATGCAGAAGGGCGGCGCGGCGCGCCTCGCGGTGGACCTCGAGGGCGGGCTCGACGTGTGCCTGAACGTCGAGGTCAACGCCAAGGACCCCGCCGGCATCACGGTGCCGTATCGCCTGCTCGTGCCCAAGCTCTGGTACGAGTACCACGGCGAGGAGGCCAGCGACGAGCCGGAGCATGAGTATCAGCGGCCTGAGCAAGGGCAGGTGTATGAGCAGGAGCCGGAGTACGAGCCGGGCCCCGGACATGTGACGCCGGAGGGGGGCATGGCTGCGGAAGGGAGAAGACCGAGCGTGTTGAAGCGCTTGTTCAGCGGGCGTAGGCGTAGTGAAGGCGGAAGCCAGTACAGAGCCAGGAGACAATCGCCCTAGGCCCTAGATAGAGGGAGCGGGGATCCAGGGCAAGTTGTACAATGCTTGTTGGACATTTGGCGTTTAAGGCGCGTCTTTTTCTTTTTTGAATAATCTTCGGCGAGGATACCTAGGTAGGGAAAAAAGTTTCCATCGTTATGCTTTTGTGGTTTTTCTTTGCTTGTACACGGCTGGCAAGGCAACAATTGGAATGGAGACTTGGCTTGTTCTTTGGTACGTGCCGGATCAGATGGCCTGGCTGGACTGGGCTGGACGCGAGAGCACGCACGCGCGTATGTGTGCAAGTGTGATTTGGAGCTGGATGACGAGCTACGATGTTTGGGACGCTGTGGGCGTGTATGGAGACGGGGACTAGGACTTATTGGAGGTTGGATAGGTAGCTGAAGTGCGTACATGCTTGGGGGATGCCCCTGAATATATAATGTGTCGGCATATTGCATTTGCTCTGCGTACTTCAACGTGATGCCTAGGTGCCTAATAATATTCCTTATTACTATTGCTACACAAGGTTTGTCCAGTTCCGTCGGCCTTGTTGATCAGCTTTCCGAGTCCCTTCCAATAGCTTCAATCTAATTTCGAGGCCACCAGCCTATTTCTTCTAGTGATGGAGCGGCTTGTCGCCTTTTAGAAAACCACACACATACAGAGGGGCCGGGCTTTCAATATTGTTCATCTACGCCTCTTCCATATACTGTAATATAAAACGAGTAGGTGGTAGATATCTATTCTACGTCACGCAAGTTTTAAGACCTCTCAGTGAATGCTCTATTAACCAACCTTATTTCTCCACTCTTCTTCAGGCCCATTTAATCATCCCCCCTTTTTCTGTCGGCGCGATCCTTTTCATTAGTATCATAGTAATTTTAATCAAACTTGTTATTACAAAAACGAAAACCTTAGAAAATAGTACACTAGCTTATCTCATGCAGTCCTAAGTAAAGCAGGGTCTTGGCACTTCCGCTCAGTCGAAACATAACACTTGACGAGCTTGTCACTCTTACACGTCCGCTCATTTTCCGTTTGCTCCCGGGGCGAACGTAGTAAGTACATGTCCTTCACGTGCCCATATGCTCTGTATTTATCATGTGTATCTCTACTGATTATCGAACCCACCGCTTCATCTCCGCCAATCCTAAATTATATACACTCCGGCGTTTACCCCTTTCGGTATTCATCATAGCCCTAAATATTAAGGTATGCATCATGTACTACCTCTGCAGTGTCAACAGACCCGGACGGTAAGGCAGGAGGCCGTAGTCGCCGCCAGAGTTAGCCGCTCGTCCCTGGTAGAGCAACTGGAGATTGCACGGGTCAATGGTCATTGTCTGGTCGGGGTTGCTACGAACCAGATCACCGTGGCTAATGTCGTTGGTCCAGGTGGCACCACTGTTGGCCTTGCCGGCGAAAGGCTGAGCCTCAGTTGCGGCCTGCGGTGTCCACGAGCCGCCCAGACTGTCGGCCGTGAACGAGCGGAAGTACCGCCCGTTTGATCCGATCGCCTCGACGATCATGAGGTACTTCTTCTGGCCCTGCACGGTGTAGACCTGGACTGCTTCGAACAGGTTGTTGCTCGTGTCGCTCATAACCACCGTCGATGACGTGCCGAAATTGCCCGGGAAGTTCCCGATGGGCATGCTGGCCCTGTAGACCTTGCCATTGTCTCCTGTAAAGAACAGGTACATGGTCGTGTCGTCGCCGATAACCGTCTGGTCGATACAGCCGGTGCTAGAGCCGGAGATGGTTCCGGAGAAGAGCGGCAGCGCCGACGACCAACCATTCGCATTAGTGGGATCGCTTGACGTCCGGTAGGTAAATGCAGTCTGGCCCCATTAATAGGCGAGAACCCAGATGTCCTTCGGCTCAAAGTAGAAGAGCGTGGGTGCAACAGCACCTGAACTCATCGCGTTTTGGCTTGCCGTGGCCATGTCAGACCAGTTCGAGAAGAGGCCGAAGTTCATCGAGCCCCAGCTCGAACCCGTGTTGTGGGTTGTCCCATACACGAGGTGCTGGCCCTTGTACACGACGTTGGTGAAGTCTTTAAGCGAGGCCCATCCCGACTTCGGGTCCGCCAGCACGTCCGTCGACGTCCATCGATATGTCGACTGGAGAGTGCAAGTCTGCGCCATGACAACCGCTACCGAAGCGTGCAACACTATGCCGGTTGACACCAGGCTAACGTTGGTTTTTAGAAGTCTCATTGTACCAATTTTCTTTTCATAAACACTCAGAGAGAAAAATTTTGGGCATTTAAGATTTCTATGTAAGAAGCCAAGGTGGACAACCGCCAGTTTTGTAGACCTCAGGGCTTGGCTATCGCAGTGATCAACCGAACAAGAGCAAAATCTGGGTCGCCTACTTCTACAAGGCATGATACATAACTCTTCTATTCATAGAGTAATATAAGATATAAGTCAGTCAAGGTAACTTGCGCTCCAATCATCGTTCTAGATGTGCGGACCCAGTTACCCCATTAAGGGTTTACCAAAATAAACGAGGGAAAGCTTTCAGTCTAACCAAACATCTCAAACTCACTACTCGTTATAAATACAACATGGAGAGTTGGCTTTAATGTTAACATTTCTACATATTAATCGGTCATGTTATCGTTGTATAAAAGAGGATTCAGTTTGCCTCAAATCATTTACACCAGGTGCTCCACATCTTACAGCGTTTCTTGTCGTATATATATCGTTTGTCTAACGATTACAAATTACTTAAAGATCAAAAATATTAAAAAAATAACTATCCCTCGGACCGGAATCGAACCGGTGACTTTTCGGTAACAATTATCACAATTACAGCCGAACGCCATAACCAACTAGACTACCAAGGGTTCATGCCAAGCAAACATACTAGAGTAAGCTATATTCGTAGCTTACAGTAGGTGCCGAGACCGCACGGTCTATGTTGACTCATAAGCCGGTGGATAGGTGAGTACTCAAGAATTATATATCTTGTAAGGTTTGTCGTGATATCATGATTACTTGGCATATGCACGATTTTAGATGACGGTAGGTGACATTGGTAATCTGGATTCAAGACAGGACCGTTAAGATCTTTCCAAGATGCTTATTGGAGCGGATACTTGACGATGCTAGAGCCTCGCGCAGGACTTAGACGTCTTCTCATAGACATGGATTCCTAAATATACATACTTCAAAGAGTGTGAATCCGGTGGGCGTGCGCCTGAGCCTCGATATTAGCCAAATCATTGTATCGTAGATATATATCCCCTTTGAGAAGGAAACTACGAAATTAGTCTCAGCTATATTCCAAGGAGCCTAATCCGGACTGACTGGACGATTAATAGATCAAGGCATGGCTCAATTGGTACACTATAAGGTATCTTTGTCGTGCGCTTGTTGCTCTGCTTTGATACTTGGCATCCAACGCTCAATATTGATATTGTATAGGTGTTTGGCCTAAGCAAACGAGGACACAGCAAATGTCACTTGGTAGAGTCTACAGACCTTATGTTAGGGAGGCTTATGCGCTTTGCAAGAATAGGCGATTATCTCACTCACATATGCTAACCGGCCCCATTATCGCCGCTTTCTGCATTCGATTCAATAGAGGTCTTCTAGGCAGTAACAAAAGTAGAAAAAAAAATGCCCACTACTGGAGTCGAACCAGTCATCTCCTCATTGCTTTCCCCAGTAGATGGGTCTACTAGTGAGGCGCATTACCGCTGTGCCAAGCGGGCCTTTGCCTGGGCTAATACTAGTAGGATGGGTCCAACTATGAAACTGACGGTTGATATTACAAACTATTTAGTAAATCATGTTAACAACGCACTGTACAATGATTAGCGCATATACCAAGAAGTCCAGATGTCTAAGTTCAGAATGTCACCACAGTGAGGCAAGGAGTGCATGTATCATTATCTTTACATAGGCTTTTGGTTGAAAAGCTAGCCAAGACGTGGCGTCTAATAGACCCACGAGTCCTTGTCCGGAGACTTATGGAGCAAGGCAACCGCATCGAAATCTGAAGGGCAAATTCAAGACTTGTTTGACAGTGCAAACCCGCCATAGAGCCCTGTTGAGTGGCCATGGTTCTGAGGAACTTGGAATTCTCGTTATAAAATCGACAGGTGCAAGGTTCATAGACTCGTGACGAGATCCGATAAGAAAATAGGGTAGTACCGTCTCGATTCTCCTTGGCTTACTAAGATCCATTAGATCTAGAAACATCATTGAACGCCTCGTGTGTTTCATTAGCCGATTCATTGGCGTGGGGACTCGATCTAATGGCAGAGCGGTTTGAAATATCTCCTTCCTGAATGGTGTCTTTGCCGCTATCAAACCGCCTCATCTAATGCCCCGCCGCATATATGTAGACATGACCGTAGGCTTCAGCTGAGCATGGATAAGTCAACATATGTGCAAAATCGCCGATGATGTTTCAGACAAACTCGACACGTAATTGTTAGGGGGTGGCTTTCATCTGTGGGGTTACTCCGTATGCGACTCCGGGGACTGAAGTCGCACGTTAGTCCAAGACAGATGAGCTGCAGCGGTTGTGAAACTACGGCCGCAGACTGCATAACACCGGCATAAGAGAAATCGCTATCGAGGAAACCCCAGAATCGGACCGGGGCATATTCGCCTTCGGTACTGGAGACATGAGATGTGGCTTGGGTCCGGCGTGCCGCGACCGTGCATCACGCATACATGGTCTGTGTTAACTTGGCGGACTTGAAGTTTAACGGTAAGTTCCAGATCGACCACCATCTCCATATGCACGTACGGCTGCCGGCGGCCCAGCGAATAGAGATGTTTAGCTATAGGTTTTCACATGCTTAGTAAGAGTATGGCATGTGACATGTGAAATGCAAAATGTAAAATGGCGTGCCCAGCAGCGAGTAGAAAGTCAAGAGCTTTGCAGGTGATTTAGGCCGGGCCGCTGATGCGTCTCCGGCGTTCCAGAACGGCGGGGTCTACAAAAGGCTGAGCTACGGCGGCGGATGAGATTTCGACAGGATCTCCTGAAACGACGTCAACATCCATTGGGGTTGCACTTCAGCTTTCTTGATCGCAAGGACGTACGATTAACTTGTCTATCATCCGGAGGCCTCACTATAACTTCGTTAATCGAGGCTGGCGCGACAGTGTATGATTTACATGAGGGCGGCTTAGACGGCGGCTGTAGTCTGCCCTTGATAAGGGGTCGACGCATTTGGCCAGACTGTTGCTGTTGCTGTTGCTGCTGGGATGCCATCAATATGTGTAATTCTCTATACCACCTAGGAACATAGATATACAAGTTGGTACTTTGTTGTACTTGGACGTCTACGAAGATGTAGAATTTCAAGTGATGGATTCTGGTTTCAGTCATATTAGATGTTGTCGGTTTTGAGTTGACGGGTGCAAGGCAATTAGAACCGAAAGATCTTCGTTCGCTTATACTTCGGCAGCGAAGGCACAGACCAGGCGTTCCATTGGTGCACAGCTACCTACATTAGGGTATGTCTCTAGTGCCTAGCTCTGTCCCACCTGGAGTGGGACAGTTAAATCTTTTTCAGGTTAAGCCGAAGCTATGGAACACGAGAGCAACTTCAATTCCTTGTCCTTGTTAATCAATTGCAAAAATGACAGATTCTAGAAAATTTCGTAGAAGAAATAACAAGAATTGCTTCAAAATCAACAGAGAATTGGTAAAGAATTTGCGAGGTGAATATACTATTGCCCCTTAGCTATCAGGGGTCCTCATTCGAAGAGACAAATTGGGGTAAGGCACCTGACCATCTGGACCGGATGACCTTCCTGTACAGGTATCCCGTAGGCCAAGAAGGGTAAAGTGTGACCTCGTTACCCCTCATTTCGATTCGCACCTGGAAGGCGGCTTAAAGCAGTTTGACCTCTGAGACGAGGGAAGCTGCACACAAGCTGCACACAATGAACAACTCATTCTTTAATACAGCACTGATGATTTGTCGTTCAGGTACCTCCTCACTTGATGCTACGTTAGGTAAGCTAGGTACCTGACCCTACGTGCATCCCAATTCTTACGAACTTGAAATTGAATCCAATCCCTTTGGTCAATTGAAGTATTCTAAGATCTCCTACTAGTCCTGCTAGACTAGGGGCATTTACGTTTTACAGTAGTGACCGTCGATTGGGGATGACTCTTAGCTACCTTGTTTAAGAAAAGTCTTTAGTCTTTTGACTATTAACAAAGAAAAAAAATAAAAAGTGTATCCACTTCTTCCCACGCGTCTACCACACCTGCCACTTGGACCTGGAAAAAGCCAGCCCACCCCGCGTTAGCGGCAAAAAAAAAGGAAAAAAAAAGAAAGGAAATTTTCCAATGTGTCAGAAGAGCCGCCTCTCCCACACCTAATTTCTACTCATAATCCTCTTATCGCTACTATAGTCCAGACCCCTCCAATTGCTCAATTCCGTGATCGGTCTCGGACTTCGAAACACACAGCACAGAGCAAAGACCAACAAAGTCCAGCCTCGGCCGGTATAACGGTACGGCGCCATTCGGAGGAAGTAATTGCCTCAGCCCCAAGGCTTGTCACATCTTGTCACCGTCATTCCGATTGATATAATTTGTCAATTGAGGGTGCATGGATGGTCACACAGTTGTCGGCGCCGTTTCGGCCCCGTCCACGAGCCCTACCAGCCCTGTGAGCTTACATCGCCTTGGCTCCATGAAGCGAAAGCGCAGCGAAGGAGGCGTTGGAATGGATAGCAGTCCTGGAAGCGTTCTCGGCGACGATGATCACTCTCTAGCTGAGCCCGAAAAGAAGAGGCAACCCGGGGTGAAGCGGTATGTTGACTAATATTCCCTAAATTCTAGTAGACCTTACAACATATTTGACATTACCATCTACCACCATCTACCCATATACAATTCATATGTACCATATATGTAATTCATATGTACGATAAACTAATAACTAATAACCTGGGTTTAGGGCATGTAATGAATGTAGACAACAGAAACTGAGGTGTGATGTCGTCCAAGAACCGTTTCAGAGCTGTTCGAGGTGTAATCGCCTAAAGCTCGAGTGCAAGATCGAGTCCAATTTTAAACGAATTGGCAAGAGGTCGAAACATGCCGAAATGGAAAAGGAGATTGATCGGTTACGGCGCAAGATAGCACAGGCTAAGGCGCAGGGTTTTGTTGTAGAGGATGACGAAGAGCTGCAATCTCAATTGCAATCCCCCGTCGCAAATAGTGCGTACTCGCATACCCGAAATCCTTCGCTCATGGGGTCCGATGAGGCTGTCACCTCCCTCCTGACTCTCAAGCGGGGAGGGTCGTATAGCCTGGCCGCAACCCATTATGCCTACGAGCTTGAAACAGTGCGGCTGACAGAGCAGGATGTCCACGCTCTATTCCAGGAGTTCTTCACCTGCTACCACCCCTTCCTCCCCTTCCTCAACGAGCACCAGCCACCTGACCTGTACTATCAGCAACATGCCTTACTCTTCTGGACCATTATTGCCATCGCCTCTCGCCGCTATCATGCTAAACCTAGTATCTTGCACGAGCTGTCAAGCGGTCCCCTAAACAGATTGCTTTGGGGCACTGTAGGTGATGTACCGAATAGTTACTTTGTCGTCAAGGCCCTCTGCTTGTTATGCACGTGGCCACTGCCGACGAGCACGACAACCGCAGATCCGACTCATATATTATGCGGTGTAATGATGAAGGCTGCGACAGGTATCGGCCTACACCGTCCGAACCATACCCAGGACTTCTCCCGCGTTTCTGTCGAGCTCAACAAGGATCAACTTCACGATCGGGTCACCACTTGGGCCGTATGTAACATAGTTGCACAATCGATCGGCACGGGATATGGCCAACCCGCAACCACGC